TACATAAAAATATTAACGTCTTAGTAGAATCAGAAATTCGGGAAGGAGTTGGACCAAATGAAGGATTGGCTCAACGACTATGGTAATGCGGACTGACATGATCTTGAAAGGTCCCAGGATTGAGAATAACGTTATGCCGTGACTTGGATAGAAATTAGAGTGATCACATTATGATTTGTCCTAGAAATGAGGAAATAAGGAGAAACTCTGTCATCACCCGAGCATTACTAGAACAGACCTTGAGGCTTGCAGGCAACCACGTGCGCCTTGCTGTAAAATGCGGCAGTGCACCACCTCCTGATGGAAAACGCACGGCCATGAAGATGCGGAACATCCGCCAGCGGTGAGGAGAATTATAAACAAGTGCTAGAGTAATTGTACCTGGGTGGCTACGAATTCAAAATAAATAAAGATACTGGTCAATTATCATTTATACAACAAATGTAAAAATAAATTAAATTTTATATATCAAATAACAACAGAAAAAAAAAACTGATGACCGTTTTAAAAGTATAGATGAAAACGAGGATACTTAATAAAACAGTATACATCAAAACGAGAAGTAAAATGTTTTATCTAATTCAAAAACGATGCATGTTTGATAAATCGAAACTCAACAAAAGACTTTAATTCCAATTAAACAATTCTAAAAATTACATTTATTCGTAAGCTGTATACATCCTTAGGATAAATACGGTATGTCTAGCATATAATATCCAGTATATATACATGACCTATTATCCGCCTATAATTCATATCTTAAGTTACTATAATGTCTTAAAAAAAATGGATATATATATATCCATTTTTTTAAGACATTATAGTAACAATAGAGTTTTTAGGTAAACAATCTTATATTTAAGTGCTCAATTTAGAAGCTGGAGTACGTGCGTAATAATTAAAAAATGTGGTTGCACAATTATTATTTACATATCAATCTTGTTTATTTACATCCTACCTTACCTTACCTTAATCTGTGCCTGGGCAAAATTAAACGGATTAAGGTTAAATGCTTCAAAAACTCAGGCCATTGTCATTGGTTCCAAGCTCCTCCTTAGATCCTATACGGACTTTCCCATACTAAACCTTGGTGACCAGCCAATCTCCTTCTACTCCTCTGTAAAAAATTTAGGACTATTTATTGATCAAACCCTCTCCTGGAGTCACCATATTTCTCACATCTCCCGACGGACAGTCTCTACCCTCAAACTATTCCATTGCTTCCGCCATCTCCTACCTCAACATACGCGCAGACTCCTCGTTTCCTCTCTCATCTTCCCCCACTTTGACTACTGCTGTGTGGTGTATGATGGACTCTCGGTGGAGCTCCGCGACAGACTGAAAAGAATAATGAACAGTTGCGTGAGATTTGTAATTGGTGCCCCGAGATACTACCATGTCTCTCACCATTACACTGAGTTAGAGTGGCTCTTCCCCTCCATTCGAAGACAATATTTCCTAGGTACATTCCTCTATCATATCATCAACAATCATCGTCCTTCCTACGCCTACAACCTTCTCCAATTCAAGTCCTCAGTCCACTCCCTCTCCACAAGATCTCGACCTTCCGACCTTTACATTCCTTCTCACAGATCTGCCTCGTTCCAAAACTCCTTTATTGCACGTTCTGTTAGTTTCTGGAATTCCCTTCCAATCAAAATTCGACATTCTTCATCCTTATCTACATTCAAAACCCTCCTATTCCAATTCCTGTCCCAAAAACAGTCAGGCACCAGCTAATCTTTTATGTAAAATTACACATTATATATAAGAGCATATTCACATATAGCTCATGATCTGAATACTTATTATAGATTCGACTTTCTTTTTCTCTTTTTTTTTTTTTTCTGTTTCAACAGAAACAGATCTTACTGTTAAGAAGAATATACATTTATTTTTTCTGTATTTTTTATTTTTTCTAAAAGGGTTTATTTATGTTTTAACATCGTAAATAGTTTTAAGTATCTTAGTATGGTTTCAAGAGTTTTTTATATAGATTTTTATATTTTATTTTGTATATAGTATGTATAACCAATATTTTTTTTCTTTTCTTTTCTTTAATGACCTATCATTATCTTAATTTGTTATGTTTATTTTTATCTGGCCAGATGTAAAATTTTAATTTCTGTACTTTTTTGTTATTCTGAAGGGACTTCGTCCAAGAATAAAATTATTTTTCTATTCTATTCTATTCTATACCTTACGGAAATAAGGGTTTTGGTGCGGTTAGCGTAAAAAATGATATATCTACCAAGCTACCTCAGCCACTTAGATGTTAGTGCTTCAACTGAAGTCCACGCCTTCAGGAGCTTTGTCCATTATGGATTGCCTTCTACCGCCTCCTCCCTTCGTCTAGGGGCACCAAGGTTAAAGTGGTCCGGTCCCACAGTCGTCTTCCACTCGTACACGAATGAAGTTCATGAGGAAGGGGAAATCACCTGCTGTCACAGCGAATAATCCAATTTTCCTCCTTAGAGTGTTCTTAAGTCCTTCGAACGTAGTGCAGGTCATTACTACGTGTTCGGCAATTTCCGGAACGCCGCACCTAGGATATAGGAGGTCGACGTTCTTGCCAAAAGTGTGAAGTTTGAGCCCCATGTCTCTTGAGGACTAGGGAAACCGAGTTAACCGGGAGCAGCCTTTTCGCTGTCAATTAGGAGTGCATGGTCGGGAAGAACATTTTTAAGGTCGCCCCTTCGGGGCTGTCAACCATCGTCGATTCCAATGATGTGCTCCCTGATTATCTGTTTCCATCAATTAGGTTCATCTGCAATCCTCACTCGAAGACTCTCGGGAACCCCAGAGACTTCCCTCTTATAGCCGTACACTGTAATATCTTCGAACAGGATAAAGAGGGGATGGCTTCTCTTCTGCTAAGAACTATATTGCCTCGTGTAATTCAGTTTTTTTAGGCCCTAATTACCCGCAGCAGAGCCATTCTTTGTATCGTCACCAACCTGTTTTTCTACTGTTCTGAGGGGTTACGATACCAGGAGGATGACGCCTAGCTCAGAATACCCTACACTACTCCTTAATAGATTGTCATAATCGCCGGGTATCTGAGGCCCCAGAAAGCGCTCCCAATTCGACTGAGCCCATTCAGTGAGATTTTGATCCTGCTATCCAAGTAGTCCAAGTGAGGCATTATGTTAAAGTTTCTTCCGAATCTCACTCCAAGTTATCACCTCACTTGGACGAATTCACTCCCGTTGGATCAGTAAGGTAATAGGTATGATGAAAAAAACAAATTATTTAGGGCAACACCTTTAGGGGAATCACCTTTTTTTATGTTCCTCTATGTGACAAGAGATGTAGTCTTACATTTTATATAAAGCTGTTTGGTAATAATCTGCCACTGTGTTTACAGCGTTTTTTCTAATATAAAGGGAAACCTCTAGTGTCAATACCAACGCAGGTTTGACTGCCCTTTCATATAATAAATTAAAAGTAATTCCACAGAACACTAAATGAAAAAAATGAATTGGATCGAATAACTCCTACAAAGAAGGTAAGAGAAATGTTTGTAATCGGTAAAACAGGTTTGGCTCCGGTCCAATAGAAACAAGAAGACGTTTCCGCGATCCTATCCCGGTAAACAACCCCCTACTGGAAATGGTAAACTTAAAGAGTTCCGGTGGTCGTTCACTAGTGCAGGGAAGACAAACAATCAAGATCGGATTGGTTTCGATAAAAAACATAATTTTAAAATCTGCTAAAATAAAAGATTTAACGAACAATTAATGTTTAATTTAAGAGAAGATTGGTTTGAGTGTTGAGTCAAAAGCATGTAAAAATAAATAAATCATAGTAATTTTTTTATTTTTTTTATTTTTTATTCTAAACCCCCAAGATCAAAACCTGATGCAATCTAAATTTTATTATTATTAATAAACATTATTCATTAATGAATATTAGAGAAAAGAAATGCAATGTAAAACCGATCTTTTATTATTATTATATGAGATATTATATGATATTGCAAGTGTGTTAAAAATCTTTAAAAAGTCAGAAAATACACAAACCGTGATAATTTGCACTTGAGAAATATTTACAAGAATATCTTAAATTAGGGGTATTGAAATTAGGGGCACCTGTAAATGCTCAATGTGTTATCATGCTGAGCAGAGAGCACAAATTTTGAATGAATGGTAAATAACCAGTTTGTGCTGACGTGCTAAAGTGTTATAAGTATTAGTAAGGGTATGACTTTACAATAAACAAATTTTGTAAGTTCTTAATTGATCGACTAACGTTTTGATTTATTTTTTAAAATTCCAAAGCGAAGTGATAAGAGCGAGTTGTTGGATTATATGGTTAAAAAATGCTTTGTTAGAAAGCATGAATGAAGATTCAGATGGCAAAGGACGTGATGAATACATATATGAAATTTTAGCTATCTTTGCATTCCATTTCTGTGGATATTGTACACAAACGAAGAATCAAACACATAATAACCTTCTCCGGGCGTTTACGAAGCCAGATCTTTACAGAACCCTATGCTGCGTTAAAATCGAGAGTGCAAGCAGCCATATTTCATAATGACATTCCGCAAATAATTTTCTCCACTTTACACATTTAAGAGGATTACAATTCTTAGCAATGTTTGCATGAATACGCCTAGTATCTTTATCTTGTAGCCCAAAGTTACTGGCAGTCACCTTTTTAGAATTCACAACTAAGGAAGAGATTAACAATCAAAAATGATTATGATCTCAAGAAGCGAATATCATTTCAAAGAAAAAATCCATAAATAAGTGACCAAATGCACTTTTATATTTTAGAAGAAGCAACCCAGCAATAAAAATATGAGATACGTTCCCAAACGAAGAATAAAACGTTATGTAAGCAATCGGAAAATATTATTCTCATTCTTTCTTTTTGAACCCTTCGCGCCTTAGATTATCACCGACGGGTCTCGTATATTTTTATCGTAAAACGAAATAACTCTTTTACGAAGACCATAAGTAAACCAATGGCTATTGCACTTCTAATTTGGAATATTACTCGTGCCTTGAACTGTAAAGGAATTTGTTGAGACCTGGCCAAAGATGAGCTGGGACTTGAGAGGTTTCGACACCACATAACCCCGAGGATGTCCAAACAGACAACTTTTTGCCGAGAGCGGGTTCCGAGAGAGAAAGTGCCCGATCATGGGGAGGTACCGAGGGCTTTAATGGTCCTCGAGTCTTGTGCAACCGCCTCTTCTTCACCTCCTCTTCCAGAATGAGCACCATCAATCCGACGGACCAGTTCTTACATCTATAAATTATTACAAAGCGTTCACGTGCATAAGAATCTTCGACGATACGATAAGCATATTTATAGCACCTTATATAACGTTGGAATTTTAATAAGAGTTTCATCATCAGTCCCTTAAACGTATACCGATGGGAACACTATAATTTTTAAAATCATCATATATAACAGGTTATGTAAATTAACCTGTTATATATGATGATTTATTTATTTATTTATTATGACTAACATAATAAAAGATAGTGAATACATAAATATTTAAACATTAAACATTTCATAAGTGCGTTATAAGGCTTATAGTTGAAGGAATGGGATAACTTTTTAATTTAATTTTCAACTGATAATGAAGAAAATAATTTTTTTCTGCTCTTGTATTATTTCCTGAAGGCGTTGCACAATGGGCAAAACTTAGTTATCCTTTTAAACTTCTCGAAGTAGTATAAAACTATTATTCAACATATGTTTCTTTCAATTAAAAATCAATTGGACTGTATTAGCATGTTGTTTGGTCATATAAGTTCCAACATCATATAAGCTACATCAATCTTTTTAGAATTGCCTTTTAGGCTACACGGGTTTTTCCCCGGCCAGGAGAATCATGCCGAGTTTAACGTCCCATCGGGCAACGGGATTTGAACTCGTAATTATTTTTCTAATTGAAACTTCGGTTACCAGGTTGCGGTCCCTCTCGGACACCCCGTCCCCTGAATCTTTTCAGAAATGAATTCGGTAGTTTACAGGACTTCCTTCTTCACGTGCGATCTATTACAACCATGATTTAAGTCAAATAAGGGGAGCCCATTATCCCTTGAGGTCAATGGTGGATGAATTTAATTGCCCTCTACTTCTTAAAAACTGACCAAGGAAAATTATAATTAGAAAAATCTTAAATTATATACAAATACGGTTGCGATTGTCTGATCCATATTTGTTTCCCGTTCCCTGTATTGAAACTTTTCACCCCGAAAAATCACAGCCTCATCGAAATGTACTCCTTTCAAAAATTTTAAACTCCTTCAACATGTGCCTCCCTAAAAATGGCAACTTGTGCCATGAAACCTCTTTCTAGCACCATACTATAAATGTTTGAAAGAAGGTAATTATCAACGACTTAAAATCGATAAAAATAGCCAAATAGATTTTTTTTTTTTTTTTTTTTTTTAAGCAAATGTATATTTTATAAATTTCAAATAGATTGGTACTTATTATCTTTATTTATATTTCGAAATACTGTTAATTTTTTTATTATTATATTTAAGAAATATACCAATAAAATATTAAATTCCTGAATGAGGTACCACAAATTAGATTCTTTTGAAAACATCGAGAAACTTTCATTTTCTCATATTATTTACTATTAAAGAAAAGATTTTTTTTTTTTATCTGTTTATTGAAAAATAATACATTTTGCCACACTTAAAGGCACTGAGTACTAAGGCTGAGTGAGGCACATTCATACCATATATACAATACGGTATGTAAAAAAAAAAAAAAATATATATATATATACATCTATATAACAAAGACAAAAACTATGATAAACCAAGGAAATGTAACTTAGAGTTAAAATTAAATAAAATACAGAAATTCGTAGCAAAATTAAATAAATTATAAGTAATAGAAATAAATAAAAAAACATTCATACTTAAATACAATATTTACAAACAGGCAAGAGATCTCCGAGTCCAGCCCTTTCCCCCACGTGTGAAGGACAAAGTGAGACTCTAAGAGATCCCAGCGCTTCTCTCTCAACCGCGTCGCCGGCATTACCAGTCCGGTTCAAGGAAAAGTAAATAACAACAAAATTATGCATTTTGGCACAATTCCGAAATTTATCGTAAATATGTCTTTCATAGGCCCACCAGCAGATCTAGAAGAGAGAAGAGATTTTAAAATGAAGCCTTTATTTCCTTTACGTTTGTTGTCATTAGTTAAATGAGCCAAATACCAAAAACATCAAATATGGGCGGAACCTGCAAAATGCAAAAGAACTATTCTGTAAAACAATTATCTCTCTACCAGAACACTTCCAAATATTCACGGACGGTTCTAAATCTGACACATCAACAGCATCCGCCTTCGTTACATCTGAGCTACCTATAAATGCATACTACATCCTCTGTGTTTAATATATACCGCTTAGATTAATGATATCGCGATGGCTCTACGATATGTGATGAATGCGCCAGTTGTAAATGTAGTTGTGGTATCAGATTCTTTGAGGGCCCTTAATACCATGAACAACATGTATCCAGACCACATAGGAGTATATAGTGTTTTGGTACTCATAAAATGGCTAAATAACATTGGAACATTAGTACATTTTTTATGGTCTCCCGGTTATGGTAGGAATGAAAGGCCTGATAGCAGCAAAAGAAGTTCTTGCCCTTCCAGGACGTGGTAAAGTTTTCTTAACTGCGTTTAAACTGGCGCGACCCCTGATATAGGCCATACACCAAAATTGGCAGACACTATGAGACAACAGCTCTCCACATAAACAATAGCTGAAAAAAAATAAGTGAAGCCATGGAGCAGTTCCAGTCGCAGTAAACGCAGAGAGGAAGTTGTCTTTACGAGACTAAGAATAGGTCATACCAGACTTATGCACCTTCGCTTAGTTACAAAAGAAAAACAGTCCATTTGTCGTGTGAAGAGAGAATGACAGTGGTGCATATTTTTGAGTTGTCTTTTACCATCAGAGAATAAACAAAAGAGGAATAGCAGCAAATACATTAACTGATTTGGAAAATGATGAAAAAATCAAGAGTAAAACCATTGTTTTCTCTACGAAGAAGGAATCATTAAAAATGTCAGAACATTTCACGCAGCGCCCCCTTCCCTTTTTTTTTTCTTAATGTGCCAACTTTAAACCTAACTTGCATTTTAGGTCTTTTTAATTTAATTTTTTTCCTATTATTCACAAGCAGAAGATATCATTACATATAACCTTAATTAATGACGTTGATAACCAACAGCTTTTACGGCTGTACTACTGAGCAGTCGATGTTTCAACAATTTTAACTTCTAACGAGCAGATTAAATCAAACAACGTATGTGATATAAAATATGTGAAGTAAAATATAAACTTCAAATTACACAAACTCATACGGAAGCCAAATCAGGTCATAGTTGCATTGATTCTATTTTGTTGATCGTGAAGAATAAATGCAAGGATATACATCAGGAATCGAAAAAAAGCACAGGTGCATTTATTGTAAAAAGGAAAAATATACAATGTCATGAGAACGAACGTGTAAGTTTGTACAAGTAACAAGACAATGGAAGAAAATAGAAAAAATTAGAAGAGATAATTAAAGTCACAACTATTACGAAGAGGTGCCGTTGATGAGTCACATTTTCGTCCTTGCAAATTGTGATTTAAAAAAAAATGAATCACTCTGTTTGTTTCACAGCTTTAAAAGTATATCCATTAACTAATGATTACTTTTCAGAACAATCGTTAAAAATAAATTACAGTTGTGAAGTTTGGATTCAGCTCATAGCTTTGTCAAGTAAAATAATGAAGATATTGTCCCCCTTCCAGATCGCAGATTAACCTTTTTGTTTAGTTCGCAGTTGTTCCAATATTACTTATCAGCTACCTTAAACTGTTATGAAAATATTACTTATCAGCTACCTTAAGCTGTTATGAAAGTATCAAACAACTTTTAGCTCAATTTTAATATTCAATAATGATAAAAACAAATATAATAAAAACATTCTTTGCAGAATTTATATTTCTAAATTAACAATAAAGTCAGCATAAATGAAAATTCGTGGATCGCGATCGTCATGATAGTAAATTAAACTTGGACAGATTGGAGTTTAACCTCTGAAAGACTTAAAAATCTTTCTATGAAATAAACCTCTACCACTACCACCTTTGAAGGGTCTTTGGCTTAGTACTTTGTGAGTACAGTTTCAAGGCAAAAGGTTGTGCAGGAGATTGGGCTGAAATCATGCTCAACTGCCAAGTTTTTCTCTGAAATGATTGTTTAATTAGGTCAGTGGCTTTATAGATGCTGGGTGTGCCCCAGGAGAGTCTACCGGCCCCAGAGTCTGTCCACAGCTGATAGGCCCGATTAAAAATTACCGATTAATAAATTAAAATAATAAGTGTATACACTGTTGAGTTGTTGTAAACAAAGAAGGTTGGCTTGGTTAGATAACCTTTGTTCATGTGATGGTGATGTATATATACACCACATATATAGAATAGAATAGAACAGAAAAATCATCTTTATTCTGGGACTAGGTCCCTTTAGAATAACAGTATTGTACATATATATTAACTACAAATCTGGTCAAAAGACTTATTACAATGAATAATGACAAAATACATGTAATACATTAAGTATTAATTAACGAGGACAGTTTGGTAATAGGGATTCAGTACTACAATATTGGAGCTAAAATAATTGCATAATAATCACTGAATGAAATTATAAAGGAAAGTACAATCTATTTTATAGGTAAATCATTGTAGTGATGGAATATAAAAATTTAAAAAAATAATAATAACTGTTAATATGTAGGCAAAGAAATTGTAAAAACTAAAACAAAAAAATATATAAAAAAACAAATAATGATATACATATGTTCCCTAAGATATTTAAGTGATTATGCGTAAAGATTAGGAGAAGAGAAAATAAAATAAAGTATATATATACACATAGCGAGAAGTATGTTGAAGATAATTAGAAATAAAATACATTTCACTGAAATACATTCCATGAATAACAAATTAGAACTTAAGGAAAACAAATTTTATCTACTCACAATGCTTAGTGAGTGGTGATGAAAATTCACGTTCAACACAGAATAAAACAATAAAAAATAAGAGAAAAAAATAATATCTAAAGAAAATTAAATCCTAATAACATAGTATGTATTTAACCAGCATCTGATTGGATTGTGAAGAGGAATTGGAATAAGAGGGTTTTAAAGGTGGCTAAGGATGATGCATGGCGGATTTTTAATGGGATGGAATTCCAGAATGCGGTGGAACGGACAACGAAGGAATGTTTAAATGATGCAGATCTGTGGAAAGGAGTGTAAAGGTCAGAAGGACGAGATCTTGTGGAGAGGGTGTGGATAGATGATTTGAATT